CTACCTGTGGCCCTCATTTGTTTGGGGGAACTGCAGAGTTAGGAGTGGTGAATTTAACATATAATGGAAGCTTTCATGGTGTCTCATTCTTTAATTGCTGTAACATTTCCCTATGTGACCAGCAATTTATGGCTCTGCAGGGTAATGTCAATCTTGCTGATGTTAGGCTGATGGTGCTAGAGCAAGATCTAAGCAGAAGAATACTTTCTGCACACTGTTGATGCTAACTTTGTTTTTCCAGCAGTGGAATGAAGCTGGGACAGGTATTGGGTGACACCCCTATCATCAGAGCTATTTCAGTGAGACTTAGAACATAAATATGTGTTACAGAGTCACTGTGGGAAGGTTTGGTGCAGATGAGTCAAACTCTTTGCTATTGGGGAGGTGGAAAGATGTGAAGGAGAGATAACTTTGTGACCTCAAGTCTGCTGCAGAAGTGAGATGGAGGCAGATGGAAAGCTGCAGTGTTGGACTATTGGCTCAACTCATTTGGCTTGTTGAAATGGAGTCTGAAAATAGCATAACTACTGAATAGCAAAGACCTAGCCTAAAAGAGGTGAAGAGCTTTCAGATCCGATGAAAAACAGATGTATGTACTTGAGATGGAGATAGAAGAAATGTAATAGAAAACTGATTAAGAGCTCCTTGAAATTAAAAACAGCATAATAGTCTTAAAGCTAATGGCAGCAAGGAAAAAAAACTCAATCTAATACTGTGGGTTTTAAGTTATATTATGGAGCATGTGCAGCCTGAAAGACTTCTGTTTCTGAAATTGTCAAAATAGGATTTCATGTACATCTACAAATTGGAAGATGTAGCTATTTTTTGATAAAAACCCCAAGCCCTGTGTAGGAATAGAGAGGCCAGCAGTAAACCGTATTTTTGCATCATGCTTAATCATTTAAAACTTGAGAATTTTGTATGGGCAGAATTCAGTTTGGTATTGAATAAAGTTCAGGAAATCTTGTATCTTCCCTGCTTTAGTAACTGTTAGAAGTATTCTTTCTTAAAAGGGCATTATGTATGAAACGGTATCTCACATTGAACAGTTGCCTATTAGGCTTTTCCCTAAATTGGTAGTTTGTAAGTCATACGCTGTACAACCTGTTCTGTAGCAGTGAAGTTATATTTGGATAAAATACAAAGATATTTATAAATTTATCAATTTCAATGGATTCTCTGACATAAATCAGGTTTGCTTTTAATATATAGGCTTTTAATGTATAGGCCATACCAAAGGTGAAATGTGAGCACAGAACAAGGCCTGGATTTTCTTTTATCTGTGAGTTGTTTTTTTTCAGGTCAATTTGGTCTGAAACTATTTGTGAGGAAACTGCCCTCCCAGCTTGAGGATACCTGCTGTTCTCTGAGTCAGACTCATTGTCTCTACCATGTATCATTATGTTTAGCAATATAGATTTCTGTTGGATAACAACTAATTTCATGTCAACTGTATATGGCAGCATCTACAGAAAATGCTGCAGAGATTAATAAAAATCTGTAACAAATGCTGTACACAAGACACAATAATATGATGCTATTAATTTCCTATCTTGGAAGCTCAAAACTTCTGCTGCATAACTACATTGTCAGATATGATTTTTATTCAGTAAGCTTTTTTCTCTCTTACTGTACTGTTTTTTAAGAATGCGAATAGAATAATTCATATAGAAGAATATAGAACTCCAAAAAGAGCAATAGAAGTGTTCAAGACAAAATACTTATTTTTTTTAATATTATGTTTTTATTTATTTATTTTAATAGAACTTCTCTGACTAAACTGCTTTTGGTCATTTTGAATCCTTTTCTTAAGGCTGTCATAAAAAATATTTATTGGTCTGAAAGTGCATGTGTAATTGTAGCATGAACTTCAACACTTAGAAACAGTTCAACACTGACCTTGACTGAACATAATGTTTAAACATGTATAATTTTAAGGCATGGATATTAAACTCATTGGAATCCATCATGCATGGCTTTATGTGTCTTTCAGACAGAGAGACTTGAAGGAATTATTGACATTTCACGTAGTTTCCAGTAGAGCAGTAAGGATGAATTTTCTATTTCAAATGCATGTATAGCTTTAGCTAGAAAACATTAAAAAAGCAGTATGGCTCCTGTGACAGATCTGAGACTTTATTCTGTGTATTTTTACAGTCTGCCTTTAATCAGATGTCATAGGCTCTGTCCTGAGACATTGCTTTTGCATTTATAGATACTTCGGCTGGAGCTGTGATGCTACTCAGCTGCATTGTAAACTGTGTATTTGTTCATTCTAATTTTATATTAAAATCGAGGCTTTGTAAATTGCGTAATCATCTTGACATTCTCAAGAGGATATTGAACATTATAATAAACTGTTATTGATTGAAGATCAGGAAAGGTCTGAATGTAACAGGAAGCCAGATTCTTATACATGTGGTAGGTTAAATAGCTTTAGAAATATATGTAAAATTGTAGAACTGCAATTTATTGAAGCGATTTCCTTACTTAATCTGAGAATCAATCAACTATTTTATGTTGATGTTAGAGGCACATAAAGATTTTAACATACCTAGTAATGGACTTTCTTCAAGTAACAGTTGATTTGAAAAATTAACCCTTAGAAAAATCGGTATAGATATATATGTTTTGGATTTAAGATAGAAAATTTCATGTAAACCATAATCCGTTCAAACCATAGTACAATTAAAAAAACCCAAACAAAACCCAGAACACTCCCCCCAACCTAAAGAAAAAAAAGGAGGGGTAGTCTTAATGGGGAGAGGAATACAGAACAAAATAATGTTATAGCGTTGTGTGTACATGTGTTGTTCCATTTCATCTTGAATGATCTGTGTAATGCTAGTCATGCCTTTTTTAAAAAAATAGACTTGGAAATGATTGAGGAAAGGGTAACGGGAATGGTATGGAGTGGCTTTGTAGTCAGAAGTCGGTCAGCTAAGACTTATTTCTAGAAAAGCCTGAGGTATGTTGTATTTGGGATCTGTGAAGTTGTCTGCAGTATAGAGATGAACAAGACTTTATTTATTGTCTGGTTAGTTTGAGGCCAAATTGAGAATGTGTAATTTGTACAAGCAGCCCCACTCCTATGTTCTTCCTTAAGCATAATGCTGGATGCCTTGTTTTAGAAGGGATTTTGACCTCAGGATGATTGCTCTTTTGTTCTAACAGCTTTTTTATTGAATTAACTAGGTTGGAAAAGATCTTTAAGACCATCAAGTCAAACCATTCACCCATGACTGCTGCTTCCACCACTAAACCATGTCACTAAGGGCCTCATCTACATGGTTTTTTGAACACTTCCAGGGACTGTGATTCCAGTGCTTCCTTGAGCAGCCTGTTCCAATGCCTGAATACCCTTTTGGTGAAGAAATTCATCCCAATGTGTTCTAGTTATTCTAAGTTTTCACCATTTTAAAAATAAGCATATTGTCTGAATAGCCTTCTTGTGGGTGAATGTTACTGGTTTAGTAGAAATGGAAAGGCAGTCTGACACCTCTATGTTTTTTCAAGAGTTGAAATATTTGCCAGTGATGTGGTGTGGTTCATGGAATGAATAGCATTGCATTAATGCTGTGTCAAACTTCTTCAGAACACCACTGCAGAAATAACATCTCCATAGTTACTATTAGGAGGGATACAATTGGAAAACACTGCCATAATTGTAATTCCTGCTTCTCTCTTGCGTAATTAAAAAAAATTATAGATTGTTAATCTGTGCCACATCAGAGGAATGCGTACGTATCGCTACAGAACTTTGGTTCTACTTTGCACTTCCAGATCTAATAATTTCTTTCTTCCTCTTTCAAAACACACATTTCCATCACATTTATGCTAATAAAACATAATCATTGCAATACAGTTTAGGCTGCAACCACTCCTTCCCCTTTACCCCCACCTCATCCCCTTGGTGGTAAGGCTGTTGAACCACTAAAACCCAGAGAGTGCTTTGTTCCTGTGAAGATGTGCTTGATGCTTGATTGTTCTGAAGTTGTGATTACGTGGCTTTGACAGCTATATGAGACTCGCATTTTCCCAGTGGTTGCAATTTATTATAAATTGAGTTTCTTTATGGTGGTTTTGGTGATATTTTAGCAAGTGGGGTGGAAGTGCTGGATGTGACAATGCACCCAATGCAGTTTGTGAACCTTGATTTGTGCAGACATTAAAATGTCTGGTACAATCTTTTAAATGGTTTATTCTAGAGAATAAGGAGTTAAATTAAGACATAAAAAATGATTCTAGTATTTTTTCTGCTCTACCTGTTATCTGAGGTGTGCAGATTGCTTTATTTACATCAGCTATGAATCTATAGTTAATAAAATTTCTTAAAAAGCTTGAAAGCAATTCATTTAATTCAGGTTTTTCCTTCTTGAAATTGTAGTCTAATATAGCTGATGACATAATTAGGAGGATATTTTATGTTTAGGAAAATGGTTTGTAGAAAACAGAGTTAATTAGACTTACTTAATGACAGTTCTGACTGATGCAGTTGAAAACTACATGGCAGAATATTTATTTTTCTAAAATTCGTGTATCATTCTTTAAAACATAGCTGTATTTTATTGATGACTATTTTGGAGCTTTGGTTTTTGAAAAATCATTCATGAAAAATGTAATTAAGTTAATCAGTATCTTAGACCTTAAAGTACAGGAAAACTACTGTAAGATTTTAAAAGCAGTGTTAGAAACATTACCTATGTAAGTACTGTGAGAAATATTTTTCTATTTTAAGTGCTAGAAAGTAACATTAAATGGCATTTTTAATTAATGAGTACAAATACCTCTGAATGACATTGTTTTATTCTTCGAGTGATTTGTCCCATTATGATGACTGTAATCTTTTTCTCTCCCCCCTTTTTTTTCCCTTAACTGCTTGCCTTTTCTAGGAAGTAGAGGTTGGTATACATCTTACGTCTTTCATTATTCTGTGAGTTTTTCATGTGTACATGGAGTCTTTATATTTTACTAAATGTAGGTTGTTTCTCCCTCTCCAGGATGATTATTTCCGTACATGGAGTCCCGGTAAACCATTTGATCAAGGTAAGATTCTGCTACTAGTTATTTTGCATGGGATAAAATTTTAAGTATTGGCAATTATGTTCCTGTTCTTGAAAATTCTGTAAATCTGTGTAATTTTCTCCCTCTTCAAATGCTTGATTTAAAGAGAGCCAGAAATTCAGCCTAATCATGAAATTTTATCTCTGATTTTTTGCAAGCTTTCATTGATTAGAGATGGGGAGCATTAGGAAGCTCCCAAAGTAGCTTAAAGTTTCACTTATACAAACTTGGGGTTTGGGAGATTTTGTTTTGGTTTATTTGCATATACCCTATGCATTGCTGTTTTTCCAGTAGGTCATTTGAGAAAAAACAGGCATGTAATCTGATATTTGTCTTTTGCAGTTAAAAAAAATTAAAATGTTGAAAGTCTCTTTTTATAGCTTCCTGATAAACCAAGATCTAGAAAAACAGTTTTGGAAGTCTCTGTCATGTTCAAGTAATCTGTCTTGAGGCAAAACACAGATGGAGCTTTGAGAATGCTACAGCCTTACAATCATTTGAGCAACCACAGCAAATTTTCACATTAAACATTCCCTCCCTAGGCATTGGAACTTAATGTTTACTGTCAATATAATCCACTTCATGTATGTTGTTTCAAAGGGTATGACTACTGTTGTGAAACTACTGAGACTCTGGGTACATTTTTATTTTTTGTAATTGCTACAAGCAGCTGTTCAGAGTCTTTGTCTTTTCCGATAATACTGGTGACAGAAATGTAATGAAGAAACAACGTAGGGGCTTGGACACAAGAGACTGAGAGAAAAATATGTTGCAAAAATAAAGTTTACTCAATTTAAGGAAATTCTTCCATAGGGGATACTGAATTTAAAGGGAGGTTTGTGATGAATTATATTGTATTACAGCCACATCTCTTGGAGATGGACTTTCCACTACATTCTGTGCCTTTGTCACTTTAATTTAGGATTGCTGTAGTTAAGCCTGTGAAAAAAAATGCCTTAATTTCTTAAATGAATGCACCTGGCTTGTTTTGCTAGTTAGTGGGAGACAGGAGTAGTCACAGTTGTTTTCACTACTCTGAATTGTGGTGATTCTCTTCTGGTACGGTGGAAATTTGTAAATATTAAGTTAGATCTATGGCAGACTGAATATTTTAGAACATGACAATTTTGCAGACCATGTGTTTCTCCTCATTATATTCTAGTACATTAGGAAAAGTCCTTGACTTAAGGAGTTCTGTGACTCCTCAGAGAACAAGATTCCTTTCTTTTGGTAAAATACCTCATCTAAGAAGCAGGCTTATCACTTCACTACAAAGAACCTTTAGTCTATTCCCTTTCTTTGTTTTTTGATAAAGCAAGTTTTTAGTATGGGAACTACAATAGGTTATACTTTAGTGATTTACTGGTGGCAAAATCTTTCATCAGAAGCCATTGAATTGAATGCGCTGGAAATTTTGGTCAGTGTCTTAATTTGGCAGTCATATAATTTAAAGAATGTCGGGTATTTTTTCCTCCCAGTGCTTTTCAGTTTTCCTGCAGTAATGGCTGCAGTTTTTGCATTGAATTTAGCAATGATATTGAATGGAGCTGTATGTCAAAAGATTTACGGCTTCTCAAGTATTAGACATTTTTTAGACTGATGGACATACAGATATTCTTTACTAATCAGAGACTTGTATGTTGTTGTTATTCTATTGAAAGTCTGTAAAGAACATTACTGACTAGATTTGAAAGACATATTAAAAGTTAGGAAAAGGTTTCCCAGTCAACATCATGGCAGAATTGGCTTCCTCTTACTTTTAAGTAAAATGGGAAATGATCTTTTTTAAACATAGCAAAATATTCCTGAGAATAAAATATAACTATGGAAGTACCATGTACTTGTTAATACATTCAAGTCTCTCTCATCAGATGGAAAAAGTGATCATGGGTATTATTTTATAGGAAGAGCCATTCGTACTTAAAAGCATGGCAATCTTGCAAATGTCAGTTCCTTAGAAGTGAGTGTAATATTCACTGTTTACTGAAGAAATCAGATCTTTTATGATTCCCTGCGTTTGCCAGTAAAAGACATACAGCAGTGACAATCTCAACACATTTTTTTCCTCATATTACTTAAGATGGGAAAAAGTGAGAGTTGGTAGACTATAACAACTGAGTTTTAGGTGTACATTCTGATAGTCTCTGTGGCAACACATGTGAAAACATGAAACTCCTAAGTGAAGGACAAATTTTTAAAATGGAGACATAAACTTCCAGTCAGAGACTAAAGTTGCTCACTAATGATGTTTGAACAAGAGCAGTAGCAACTTCTCGTGTGTTAAGTTTGTAGTAATACTGCTGAAGATACATGCAGATAAGTTCTTCCAGGAGGGAAATAATTAATATCCTTAATTTATCAGTGTGTTATTTCTTTTATTTATCAATATTTGTCTTTTCAGGAAATTGCACATAAATCTGTGAAAGTATGGAATAAACAAGGAATCTTTTTGGCATTAAAAGATCTGAAGTCCAGGTCTACCAGATGTCATATTTTTTTCTGTTTACTGAGAAACCAATGGATCATAGGAATTACTAGTGCTTTTACAGAAACATTTTTCTTTGTTTATTAAAATTATAGCAGCTTTACATGATGAAATTACAAATAGTTGGAAGTTTTGAAATCTATATGAACAAATATGAAGACCTTTAAACTGCATAAATGCCAAGTGACTACCTGTAATAAAGGCGGTGGTAGAATCTTTAGCTTTATGTCTGTGTTTTCAGATTGTTAGTTGTCATTTAAAAATACTCTTAACCGTTTCATGCCTTGTCTTTTAGGCTGTTGTATAGGTAGGTACCTGTTACAGTTGTAACTCCTTGTCAATGCAAGTAGTAGTCAGACAAATGGGTTCTCATTATGTTTATTATGTTCTAATTTATTATGTTATATGTACATATTCTGCTCAAAATCAGCAATATATGGGGACCTTCAAACTGTTTTCAGCAAACATCCATATTAACTTGTAGGTAGTGTTTTTGAGGAACCAGTGCTTGCCATACAGACATATCTTTGAGGTCTACACATAGTTATTATTTTCCTAAGATTTATATGACTATTAAAACTTTTCCTAAGATTTCTGTAGATTTACTATATATGGATAATATAACTTTTTATTTTTTTAATGCATCATTAATCTGAATGCAAATCTTCATGCTATTTTTTTTTTTTTTTTAATATTTGAAAAGTCAGTGGTTCAGTGACTCAGTAGTTGTGCGTATGATACTCAGTATCTTAATAGTGTCTTAATTCACTCCGCTTTAATTAGGTGTGTTTTTAAAGGCATTCTTACATTGATATGGCTAAGTATGTAAAAATTGCTCATGTAGAAAGATCTGTGTAATTCCTTGAGTATTGGTGAGAGTAGTTATATGGAAATATATCTCCAAGCATTCCAGGAGGTTAGCTCTTACTATGAAAATATAGAATAATATTTACTCCTGGGCTGCAAAGTTTAAGTTATTTTAAAAGGTGGAAAAATATCAGGAATCGCATTGCAATCCACCAGTGCCATTCCTTAAAGCAACATTTGACATTTGTGCAAACAGTGCTTGTTCCTGTTGAACTCGTTTGCATATATACATCTAAGATAGAAAAAAGTTTTTAAATATTTTGACTGTATGATATATACGCACACATAAGTGTTTATATTTTTCTATAAACACCACAGTGTGAATTCTTAATAAACAATCATGTGCACCAGGTATTATTGTTTGAATAAATCAGAATGTTCTATTAATCATACTTAGTGCTAAAACGCAGTTTTTGCATTTTAAGTGGTTTTAGAAACAAGCAATTAGGATATTTTGTATTTTGGACTATTTCAAGTTGAACATGTTAGTACCTTTAATGTGTGTTTTATCAACGTTTTCTCAGCTTAAAAGGAAACAACAATACTTGCTAACATGTTTTCTTCATGTAACATTGTTACACCATGCAAAAATGTATGGAACGCTTAGGTATATTTTATTTTTAGACTACAGATGGTATTAGAGCTTGGAGGGTGCAGCTATTGAATAAAGTTGCATACACAAAGACACTGGTGTAATATTTTAAAGTGGAAAGGATGTTTTCCTTTGCTCAATAGAAATACCTTGGAGGAATAGTGGAGTATTTTCATGTAATGGAAAAAATATGCAATGACATTTCCATGGAGGATGAACACCCTGAAGGTATAGTTGGTTTGTGGATATATTAATAACATTTCTTGTAAACCATTCCACTGAATTATTTTTGGCTTTTATAGTGTCTGGTTATATTATATGTCTGTTTACAGCAGAGGTATTGTAGATACCATTTTACAACAGAAATAGATTCTGAAACAATTTCAGATACTTTTGAGTCCTTTGCCTTTTAGCTCTTTATGTTTCATCTACTTAATTCTGTAATAATTTGAGTAACTAAGGATATGCAAATACCTGCAAACAGTTCTCTGTAATTTGTGAGTACATTTCTGTACTATGAACTGAAACGATTTAGAGTCATATTCAATAAAATCATTTGAATCACTCATTTGCAAGCCTTGGGAGGTCTTAAGGGAGTTTAATAAAGATCTATTACTTGAAGACTGTGAAAACAGTCATGCAGATTTAACTTTGCTACATTTGATGTGTGCAGTCATGATCTAGTTTTTATAGCAAAGCTGTGGATGTTTTTTAAACTAGAAATATATATCCACAACTTTCAAGTTAAAATTCAGTACTTTGCAATTAAGATGTAATCTATATCACTTTAAATACAGTTTAGTCTTAATAGTAAATAATCATGAAATATTAACAGCTTTTCAGTTCTGTTCTTTTTGAAATTCATAGTGTCCTCCAACAAAGATACTGTATCTTCATCTGAGACAACATTTTAATCTGATGAATAGTTTCCAGTTTCAGGTATTTGGGTATGTTTAAGAACCCTGTTCACCCAGAAAATACACCAACTCCTGTGTTGAGCTGATTCCCACTGCTCTTTATTACTTTCAGCCAGCCCTT